ACCATCTTTTCAAGCCATCTTTCGGCAACGTCTGGGTCGGGTCCCCCAACAAACTTTGGCGAAGCGAACTTTTGGAATCGTTTGAGAGCTCTATCTTCGCTCTCGATGTGGTTACCAGGGTTCTCGGGGGTTAGGGTTTGGGTTCTGGCCCTATTGTTGCACTACTTGTGCTAGTAGGTTTGTCATTTGCTGCATAGCAGCAGCTATTTGCACATTCGGGTCTACTTGTGGTTCAGGATTGGGTCCAGTAGAGATTTCTCCCGTACCCGTAACTGGTGTGGGTTGTCTAGTTCTGCGTCCACGGTCTCGACCACTCCGAGTGCCTTCCATCAATCTAAGTCAATCTAGGTCACCAAATAAATATACTGTTAAAGGGCACCTAACCCTCCTTTCCGTAGCACCAGACAGGAACAATGAAACAAGAATAAGTAACTCAAACAATTACCGCGAAGAGCATTTAAACACATAACACGTATACATAGATCACATAACCAGGTTAAGCAATTATACGGAACAGTCAGTCAAGTACATACGAAGTCATTCCATGAAACAAAAGAGTCCTCCAAAAGTGCTATAGACACCTAGGTCACAAGTGCAAAAGAACTCACGAAAAGCTTTTCCCCTTCTAGGGTTTCGTCCAAATATTTATATCTTAATCAAGGTCGATCACGCTTAACCACACCCGAACAAATCACACGAAGTTCCATAGAATCGCCTTTCTAGTTCACCAAATCCTTTCTAATCTAGGCCCTCATATCTTTCGTATCCGGGCGCAAGAATCTTGTCTAAGATAATTCACATCTCGAGCCGGCCGGTCCCAAGAGTAAACCATCCTTATTAAAGATTACTACCCGACAAACATACCTAACTTCCTCGAGTCCCATGATAATGATTCGTACACTTATCACATGCCCAGTTCATAACTTACGCTCAAACGAGCACTTAGACATATTCATGAAATTAGGATCACAACACCACTTGGCCCAGTCTCACTCCGCGCAGAGACCACGCGAAGTGGCTCTGATACCACTTGTAACAGCCCCACTTTCCCCTAAGGCGAACCAAAGGGGTTAGCGGACTGCCTGCCCAACTCTCGCCAGAACTACGAATTAGTTCACGTCGATCTAATACGTTCCGGAACATACTCACGCGCGTAAACAAGTCAAAATCACAAAAAAAAATGAAAATCGAAACCGATGATGAACAGTACCGGCCACGTCAGAATCCAGATACTAGGCCGAGAGTAGCCAAATTTTTTTCTTTTGCCGTTTGAAATACGAGTTGATCCGAAATTCAACCAAATATCAATCAAACATACACACATTGAAATGTAACATTTTCAAGCCAAAGCGGCATATCAAAAACCATTCATTACGAATATACATGTTCGGTTTGCCAATCAAAAGAAAGTGAACCCAATACACATTAGGGAAATACAGGTTCTCACAGCATGGCTTCCCCCTTATATGTATGTTAATAATTAATAATATATGTTGTTACAAAAATTTGATAATTAATTGTGATTTATTTGGAAACCTAAACAAACTTTTAATAATTGTAAAACGTTGGTAACTAAATGTGATTTGTTGGGCAATAAAAAAGTGAAAGTATTATTTAATTAATGAACAATTAACTACAAAAAATTCTATAATTGAACATGATTTGTTGAACAATCCAAAATAAAAGAGGACATTTTTTTATAACATTTGAAAAAAATTTAATAATTTATTGTGGTTTTATGGGCAACCACAAAAAAAAGTCAAAAATTTTTTAATAATTGCAAAAAATTGTTAATTAAGCACGGTTTGTTGGATGACCAAACATATGACATTATTAATTAGTTATTAACAATTAATTGCAAAAAATTGATAATTAGACGTGATTTGGTGGACAACAAAAAAAGGAGTCCAATTTTTTGTTAATGTGATTTGTTGGGTAAAAAAAAAAACAGAGGCCAAATTTTAGTACCATCCTATATGCAATTAAAGGATTGCCACCTCTTATGCAATAAAAACTTGCTGCATCACCATTTTCATATGCAATTAGGAGGACTACCACCAATTGACCATTCACAAAATGACATCTCGTCAATTTGAAGTCAACTGGAGGAGTACCATCAACTGACAAAAAAGCTGGTAATAAAATGTGATTTGTTAGGCGCTAAAAAAGTGAAATTATTAATTAATTAATGAAAAACTAATGGCAAAAAATTTATAATTAAACATGATTTGTTGGATAACCCAAAATAAAAGAGGACTTTTTTTTATAACATTTGAAAAAGATTGATAATTAAATGTGGTTTTTTGGACAACCACAAAAAAGAAGTCATTTTTTTGTTAATAATTGGAAAAAAATTGTTAATTAAACATGATTTGTTGGATGATAAAAAACATTGCATTATTAATTACTTATTAACAATTAATTGCTAAGAATAGGTAATTAGAGGTGATTTGGTGGACAACAAAAATTAGAAGCCCAAATTTTTGTTAATGTGATTTGTTGAGGCAAAAAAAAGACCAAATTTTAGGACAATCCTACATGTAATTAAACGACTACCACCTCTCATCCAATCACCACATCACCATTTTCATACACAATTGGGAGGACCATCAATTGACCAATCACAAGGCAACACCTCATCAATTTGAAATCAATTGGATGACTACCACCAATCAATCAATGGGAGAGTGCCATGTCAGCAATTAAAATCAATTGAAAACCATGGGCATATAATATGTTAACAAGCACTTCCAATCCAATAAAAAAAATGCAAAAGGAAAAAAAATCAAAGCCACGTGGGTGTAGATTTTAGTGGAAACAAAGAAACAAAAGGATTGGTAAACGTATGAGCAAACGAAAGAATTCATGCGTGGGAATGGACGACCATCAATTGGAAATTCGCACGAGTCGAACGATCATTAATTAGCCAATATCAGCGCGCCACGTCTGTAATTGGAACTCAATTGAAAATTCGCATTCGCGCGTAGACTAGATATGTTAATGATATGTTGGGCACTAGTTAAGTAATTACGAGATTAAATAAATTGTTTTCCCTTGTAAGAATTCTTAGTGCCTCTTCATTGATTGTATATTTTTTTCCTTGTTAAAATTCAGAGTGCCTATTTATTAATTAAAAATTTTTCCCCTATAAGAACTTAGAGTGCCTCTTCAAGCTAAATAGCACCTACGTTAGTAGGTATAGGAAAAGATTATCAACAATTGTTTAGGTGTAATTGATCAAATTCATAGTTGAGATTTTCCTTTTTAAAAATTGTATGGTTCCAATTAGAATATGGAAAACTTTTATAGGATAATGGGCACTGCCGAGCCCGACAACCCACTGTTTCATTTAGAGTAAATTACCAAGATATTCACTAAATATTTTGAATAATAAGATTTTGGCTATTTGACTTTTGAAGTATCCGTTTATCCATTAAACTATCAAAAGTGTAAGTCATTTTGTCTGTTTTCAACATTAAATTTTTTATGTCTAAAATTCGTACGAGCCATGAGATATAACCAAATTTGATAGACTTAACTGTAAAAAAAGGATGGAATTCTCCAATAATTAAACTTTTGATATTTTAGTGGGTAAATACATTAATTTTGAAGATTAAATGGTCAAAACTACACTATTTAAAAAGTTTAGTGACTAATGGATAATTTGCCCCATCATTTATCACATCAAGGAATAATGCATCCCACGTGATCAAGTGCTACCTTTTCTCGGTTTCCTAAATCCAAATACAGTGACTACTGCGCGTTGTCCGTCTAGGAACAGGAAAACTGCTTAGCCATGATAAAACAAGACTTCCTCCGTTGTTTTCACTGTACTAAAAAAAAAAAAAAAAAAACTCCCTCCATTCGAGAGTAATTCAGTCATTCTTGCCAGAATTTTTCCAAAAATTCAATCTTGAATAGTTGATCAATTCAAGGGAAGGGAAAAGGACTTGAAGAATGGCCATCAGGGTAGGTGATTCAGTGGAGATATGCTGCAACGAAGATGGGTTCTTGGGTTCCTACTACGAGGCCAAGATTATTGCCAAACGGGGTAAAAACAAGTTCCTGGTGGAGTACAAAACTTTACTCAAAGAAGATAATGAAAAAGAGTTGCTCAAGGAGGTTGTTGAAGCTTCAACAGTCAGGCCTTTACCTCCTCAGATAAATGTCTCGGAGTTTCATGTTCTTGAAAAAGTGGACGCTTTTGATAATGATGGTTGGTGGGTTGGAAGAATCTCGGGTAGAGCTGGCTACAAATACTACGTGTATTTCGAGAGTTCAGGGGATGAGTTTCTGTATCCGTTTGGCAGCCTCAGAATTCATCAGGAATACGAGAATGGCCAGTGGATTCCTGCTAATAAGAGGGCTGATACCTGAAATTAACGTGTTTCTTGTGTAAAATTTCGTCTATTTTTGCTTGTATTTTGTCTTTATCCAGTTTCTTGATGCTTTCACAAGTTCGTGGTTGTTAGAGATGCTAATATTGGGTGGCTCAAGCACTTCTGTAAGATATTCATCCGAGTAAATTTCTTATGTTTTTTTTTCTTTTGGTGTTCTTTCCCTTGATCATATTAATTTATTTCACCTAAAACTTTGAACCGACTTATGTTTGTTGAAACTTGGAAATCATCTGGGGAATATAAAAGCAGCAGTTTCCTAAGTGGGCTGAGTCCCGTAGGATTCAGATTCTTGATCAGGTCCTTGTTACTGCAGAAGCTGGATTAATTTCCTCAAAAGAGAAAAAAAAAAAAGATGGATTAATCCAGATATCACACCCTTCAGCTATTGAAATTAGATTTGTGACAACTTATACATCGTTAATTGTTATTTCTGCAAGATTGGACCAAACTGGACGAAGTCGATAGAGTTCAATCCACAGTTCGTCTCCTGCCGCTACGCCACGCGAAAGGATAGATGGTTGAACATGCCAAGCCAAGCAAGAATGAGAACCTATTGGGTAAACTTATGTGCTTTATGCGTCACAACAGCTAAGTAGAGGATACGTGAAGATTGTTCAAGTTCGAAAATTGTATAAGCACAACAAACTGATGATACAAATTATTCAAATTAACCATACAGCCCGGGCAACCATGGAAGGCAATTGAAGGTTACTCTGCTTATACCTGCTGGTTTTTTAGGGAAAGCACATCTCTTACAATGGTTAGAAAGGAAAACAAAATAAGTTTAACCGGTGTTCTGCAGTCCAGCAGCAATTCCCTTCATTGTCAAGATGAGAGTGTCCTCCAAGCCAGGGGCATATTCACTTGTTGGATTCAGCTGAATATATTCAGCAGCAAGTTTTGATTCCATATACTCCTTGGATATATGAGGTCTGAGCTCCACATGGTAGTTTGGATCGCGAATTCGTTTAAGAGTATAAGCCTGAAGAAGATTCAGAGTTGTGATGTACGAATCGCGCAAGCGAAGCTGCTGCTTCAAGTAGGGGTCTCCTTCAAGAAGATCCTTGTGTCCTGCAATCTGCAAAAAGCAAAACAGCATGTTGTCTTTACTTATGAAAACCATTCAATGATTTGATCTGACTTTTTCTTTAGAATTCATTTCCCAAAATTTCCCTAAATAACTCCAACTCCAACGGGACTTTAAGCAAAAATTAGCCGTAAAAATTTCCCGTAGTACCTGAAGCAGAAGTGTTTTTGTTTGCTCATAGTTTGTCCTCAAGCGCTCTCCAAATGCCCACAAGTCTTCTGAAACTAGGAGCTTATCATAAAGAGCAGCAATACCAGGCTCACCCTTGGCAAACACCATCTCAACTAAATCGATAGTGACTCTAAAGAAAGGCCACTCGTTGTACATCTCTTTCAACATTTGAAGGTTCTTAATGTCCTTCTTGATTGCATATCTGAAAGCTGCTCCAACGCCAAGCCAAACTGGCAGATGAAATCTGGTTTGCGTCCATGCAAAGATCCATGGAATAGCTCTAAGTGATTCAATGCCTCCACTTGGTTTCCGTTTTGAAGGACGGCTACCAATATTCATACGACCATACTCCAGCTCTGGTGTTGCCTAATCATGGGTAGAGGGAAAAAAAAATCAAATTCAACAAAAATTTCACCAAAAAGAGCAGATAAAATGCAGATATTAATGAGGAGGTGCATGGTGCACGAATTCTGCATGAAGTACGTACAAGGCGGAAATACTCGACAAAACGAGGTTCTTTGAAAACAATAGAACGGTACTCCTCTGTAGCAATTACAGTAATTTCATCCATTAGTGCACGCCATTCAGGTTTTGGAGAGACTGGGGGATGCATCCCATGCTCAAGGGTGGCAGCAGTGAATCTCTGGAGGGTTCTAAAACACAGGTGCTCCTCACCAAATGATTGCTCAATAACTTCTCCCTGAACCGTAACACGAAGGGATCCATGAATTGTATCAGGAGGTTGAGATAATATAGCAAGATGGGTGGGTCCACCTCCTCGTCCAACAGTCCCACCTCGACCATGGAACATTGTTAGCTTCACACCATATTCCTTGGCTACTTTTATGAGTTCCTCTTGAGCCTTGTATAACTGCCAAGCTGCTGAAAGTCGTCCAGCATCTTTGCCAGAATCTGAGTATCCAATCATTACTTCCTGTTTACCATTAATCCGGTTTCTGTACCAATCGATAGAGAAAAGTCGTGCAACAGCAGCAGGAGCAGCCTCCAGATCGTCCAGTTTCTCAAAAAGTGGAACAACTCTTAAAGGAATCTTCACATGGCATTCACGCTGTAGAAGTTCAACTGCTAGAACATCAGAAGGTGCTGTAGCCATTGAGATGATATATGCACCAAAGCAATCTGATGGTAGTTCTGCCAGGACATGGAAAGTATCCAAAACATCAGCAATTTCTTCAGTTTTTGGAAGGTCAGGTCCAAAAAGAGGTCGTTTGCCACTTAATTCAGACAGAAGCCACTCCTGCCTGCGTTCTTCTGACCATTCTTTGTACGAACCAATTTCCAAGTGATTTGTAATGGCGTCTAAAACATCAGTGTGGCGGTCTGACTCTTGTCTTATGTCCAGTCTCACAAGTGATAGCCCAAATGTAGAAACTTGTCTCAGAAAATCCAGAAGGCTTCCATCAGCAATGGGTTGGTCCCCACAAGCACAAAGAGATCTATAACACAGTTCCAGAGGCTCCAAAAACTACACGATAGCACAATCTTTCTATCAGTAAGGCGACAGGTATGAGATTTTCTCTCTTTTTTTTGGATTTATTTTGCTTTTTGTGGTGGTGGTTAGCCGGGGAGGGGGGGGGGCGAGTGAGGGGGGAACTTCTGTTGATCAGCAATCACATATAGTGCCAAATAGACTCAGAGATCAAACTAGAAGAAAAAATATAGATAATAGGCAACAGTGTGATTCAAAACTTTAGGTGCTTAGCAGTTAACTTCAGAAGTACTACCTGCTCAACATTGGTATAGGTTCCCTCCTCTGGAATATCAGAAGTTCCATGAGCTAACATATGTCGAGAGCGCTCGCGTGTCTGATACAACTTATCCCTCACATCAGCAAGTATAACACGATATGGTTCATTTGGTGGAACGTGTTTCCAGAATTCTGCCATGTTAAATTCAATGTTCATAAATCTTGAAGCAGAAAGTTTAATTTTAAGACACATAGCCTTCTTATTCATTGTCCTACAACTAGAGACCAAATGATGGTTTGAGCAGTTACGAAATAGCGACAATGGTTCTGATGCATTTTTGTTTTATGAGAATAAAAGGGATGGTTATTATACTTGAACCTCAAACTCAGTTTCAAAAGGTTGTTTGGCAGAACGAATGGTCCTTATTGAATAAACGTCTACAGCAAATTCTAGGAGTTACTTCCCTACTCACCTATGTAGTGCTTTGCATCTCTCTTTAAAGATTGGTGAAGTATGTCAGCTTGAACACGAAGCTCATCGCTGCAACGCCACATTGACAACTGACAAAAAAATTATAATGTAAAAAACTAGTACAAGCACATAAGTCATGATGCGAAAAACTAGTACAAGCACATATGTTTCATAAGACAATGGAAAAACAATCAAAAGGATTCAAAAAGGTGAACTGGATAATAAAAACCTCAAACATGAGATCCTCTATCCGGGAGTAGTACAAGTTAGCAGCCATCATTCTAGCTAATAAGCAAACATCCCTTGTCACCTCAGGAGTTACCCTCGGATTACCTGCATTAAAAACAATAAAATCTCAATCAACAAACCTGGTGGGATGGCTATGCATGAATAAACAAAAAATGTGGCCAACACCTTCTTCTTCCGTATTCTATTTCTTAGGCCAAGGCATCAGAAAATTAGACAACCTCAGAAATTTTTATAACTTTAAAAGGTTAATATCATCTTTTTTATTTTATTTTAAAGGCTGACATAGCAAATGCCCATCTGTATAACATTTCATTACAGAACTCATGAAGAAGCATTAAGCAGTCCAATTAAGTGTCTTTTCCTGTGTGTGCAGCACAATGCATTAGCCATTTGAATAAGCTGGTTTTTTGGGAGAAACTTTATACCATCACGATCACCACCCATCCAAGAAGAGAATTGAATGAGAGGGGCATTGTAAGGAACACGTTCATTAATCCCAATGTTTTTAAGAGCTGTGTCAACACGTCGTAGAAATTTTGGAACACCCTTCCAAATTGTTTCATGAAAGTAGCTCATTCCGGCTCTCATCTCATCTTGTGGTGTTGGAGGAGTCCTTCGGATCTCATCCGTCCGGAAAGCAGCTTGAATCTGTTTGAAAACATTGCACAGAAACAAATGTGAGTGGTCAACCATTCTCTCCGATCAATTATCAGTTTTCAGTGATCACAATGGAGTCTACCTTAAGACTGGAAAGAAAAGAAGCTTAGATCATTTTCAGAGCAAGTATGAAAACGAGGTTCGAGTCTTTGACAAAAAGAAAAAACATGGAAACCAGAATATTTCAGTATCAGAGTAAATATACTGGAACAGCTCTCATATACGTGACCATCTGAAGGTTTGTTGAAATCAGACAAAGAAAAAGTAAGTTAAATGTGAAGGGCTTTATATACAGGATGCTTGCGTCATGATATTATTGAATGTCACAGGATAATAGGGGATTGAGTGAGCATCTGATCCTAATCGTTGATGAGAAATGATATAAAGTTGCAATAGTACAAGCAGAGAAATCAGTGACAGATTAATAGAAGAAAATAAGTAGCTGTAACCAGTTCAGAAACAAGAAACAGAAGGGAAAGAAGCTGTGAAGTCGATTTGACAACATCAAAGTTACTATTCTGAAGATCAATCTATATCCAGTAGAGACCTTTTCTTGCTAATCGCCCAAGGAATTTGAATGCTTTTAGCTACGTCAGATCTAGTAACTAATGGGTTGCATAATTTTGGCAGAAAAATGGATATGAAAGATACACTGGACGATGCAAAACCAGAGGAATTTGTTCTTGACTGAGAAGATGCAGTAATATTGTCAGATAGTTTGGAAAATGTCTAGTGCAGAGCATGGATGTCAAAACTCCATCAGGCACAAAATAAGAGCTAACATTACCTCCCTCTGCAAGGCCTCATCAAGCTCCTGCTTATCATCTGGCGTGATGTCTTTGGCATATAACTGAGCCAAACAATTGCGTATCCTGACATAAGAGTATTAGAGTAGGAAAAGGAAAAGAAACTAAGAGAATTATACTCGTAAGCTTGTGGATAGAAAATAACAGGAGAGCAGTTATAGGACAAACCTTCCATGCTTTTGAAGCAATGACCTCCGAACAGATTGAGTAGGGTGAGCAGTAAGGACAAGATCCACAGTCTGATTTTTCAATGCATCAAAGACCTCTTGAGGAGACTTCTTCAAATCCAATACAAGTCTTTTCAGAGTTTCCTCTATGTCTGATTCAGTAATTGCTGAGTTTTCATCAGCAAAATCACCTTTCTTCAACTTGTTCCTCCTTCGATATGCTATCTGAACCTCCTCAGCCAAATTGGCTAAGTTAAGCATGTGAGAAAAAGCTTTTGCGATGACAATGGAATCCCCAGGATCCAAGCTGGTTAAAACATGACCAAGCTCTTCCAGCTTCTTTGGATCCTTCCTGCCTTCATATTCGGCGGAAAGTTCATAACATTCTTGAACCTATAATAATGAGATTAAAAGAACAGAACAAACTACATTGAGCAGACCTTGCAGACTCTGCAGATTGTTTAAGCTAATGAACAGAGCAATTCACTACGAGATACAAATATGCACAAAGGCTTAAAGGATCTAAACATTACGGAAGCCAAATTACAGAAGGGCCATACACTTGACACTTCAAGTGATAATGACTCACTGGTGAATGACTGAATGGTATACTAAGATTGAAATCGGAACTTCTCGTTTAATGTCTATAGCAATTTTCTTCCGAGGAACAGATTAAACAACCAAAATTGCCATAAAAACACAATCTTGATCATTAAACATAACCTGGGTTTTTCAAAATTCTGATAGTACTTCCCTCACATTGGAATCATCGAAAACAAACAATGCCCCATCTAAAAACTGAAAAAAGACCGAAAAAAAAAATTCCAACTGACTTATTATATGGATTGTCAATATAAAGATCAGATTTTTTTCATCATAACCAAAATTGGATCTTGATCAAAATCACCTAAATACAAGCTGGAAAAATAAAATCTATATGCATACCGTTTCTTTAAGGTCCTCGCCGTGTAAGTACTGAAGAATGTCAAGGAACCGGTCTAAAAGCAAAGCATCATATTCAACAAGCTTGTCATCATCAGACACTTTGGCAGGCACCAAAAGCCTTAACTGGGCATCAATCGATGCCAACTTCTCTAAATTCCTATCAGGAGCCATAATCTCACTCCCAGGTCTCAACCACTCTCAATTTGATAAGTACAAATGGCAGTCCCTGCAGTGAAGTGAGCAGAAAAGTAAATTGATTTGGATAGCATGAAGTTGACCACAAAAATCTGATCATGACTCATGAACGCAGATAGTAGGGGCCATATGAAAACAAATGCAAATCAGCTAACTTTCGGCTATTCGTCACCGTCCAATTAGGAAACAAACAAAATGCAGCCAAAATATATCAATGGCTCCGTGTGCGTGAGTATGTGTATATGTGTGTGTGAATCCAGCATCTCATTTTTGGTTAAGCCCAGAAACTGAAATGTAGTGTCAGAGTAAGGTAAGAGGTACCTGAAAAAAGGAAGACCTGAGAATTTGGAAGAGGACTTTGGGGAAGAGCTCAGAGATGGGGGGCAAGAGAGTTGATGTACAAAGCTGCTTATGCAAATGTTAGCTATTTATAGACTGAGAACTGAGAAGGAATTAAAAAAGGAAGATGCAGTGAAATAGTTCTTCCATTTCCTTGAAATTTTTCTAACATTTTGTTTTTTAATAAAATGTCCCCTTTAATTTGTTAGCTATTTATAGACTGAGAAGGAATAAAAACAGGAAAATGCAGCGAAATAGATCTTCTATTTCCTTAAAAAATTTCTAACTTTTTGTTTTGTTTTTTTTTTAAATAAAATGTCCCCTTCAAATTTCTACCAACTTGTTGGCCGGATCTTTAAGTTCAAGTGCAGCCTCCACCAAAGCCAGCAAGCAAGCAAATTGGCTCACTCTCCGCCTGAACTCAAAAGAAGAACTTCCATCAGACCCGCAAAGTCAAATACACGTCTGTCTATTTGCTTGCTTCACTCTTTTTCTTCTATCTGGTAGCTTTTTGTACTGTCTAGTTTGCCGTTCAACGTTCCAATACTCCTAACAAGGAATATGCCTTCCTCGGCCAAGAAAGATTCTTGATTTTTTCTCCAAAGATGGTCAGATTTTGTATTCTTTAGTTTTTGGTAGTAATTGATGATATCTCCGCTACTGGAGAATAAGATGCTTCAAATTTTGCAGCTAGAAATGGCCAATGTGAAGGTTTTGTGCTTTTAATTTTCACTCTTAGGCGTTGTAACAATTTGAGTTAGAGAATACATCAATTGATTTGATTACAGCATATCTCCGAGTTTTGTGGTAGTAATTTTGTACTACTAGTTAGTTATCTTTCATTTCTTGGTCACAGCATTCCTCAATCACGAATGAGATCCTCTAGACTAGAAAATCGTGGGAGTGAAAACCGTAATTGTTGTCCAATTTTCTCTGTAAATTTGATGAATGGTAGATCCCACTGGTTTCGTGATTGGTTCAAAGTCCACACATTTCAAGGTCTACAATTACGACCTGTAGCTTTCGAATAGTATGACCTACCAAATACGTAAATCAATCAAGCACCCCATTTCCCTGCTCATCAATAAATATGTATAAATAAATCAATACCCTTTCGTGTCATCTACTAGTTCTTTGCTAATATATACAAACTGAGATGTAATTGCAAAGAACCACTGAGCTGAAAGTGGCCACAAAAGAGATATTTTAGTCGCGGCGAAAAAAATTAAAAAGACGCATCAGAACATTTCTTTGATTTAATAGGTTTATATATCTATTAACCCCGTATATATAATTTCTTTAGATTCACCTTCCGCCTAAATTAAAATAAATTAGATTATAAAAATATTATTTGTGTTTGAATTGTAAATTATCTAAGATAATTTTGTGAAAAAAGTGTTAATGGTCGACGCTAATGGTCCCACCATTTGAGATTACAGTAGATTATAAAGAAGGCACAAGTAAAAATATTTTTAGATTGCCAAAAATTGAGCCCCTCAACTTACGAAAACACCCTAAAAGTATTTTTAAAAAATAAATGTATCCTTTAAAAAAAAAAGTACCAAAACTTCAAACGAAATGCACAAGTTGTACGAGTTTTCGAATCTTACCTGGCCACCATCTCTTTCAGTTTCAGCTCTTCTAAAAGAAAGCAGATCAAGGCCATGTTTGGATTGTTTGTTTCCGTCAGAAAATATTATCATTTTCCGTGATCACATTTTCCCTCACATATATCAAATCGCTACAATAATCTTTTTGGCAGCCTGAAACATGTCATTGTCATGAGATTAGTAGCTCGAAGAAGTCGAGTTTCCTCAGTTAAAGCTCCTCAATGAAAAACAACTGCAACCATCATCATCTTGATTCATGACCGCACGCTTCACTCAAAGCAACAAATCATTTATTGGGTAACCACTCCAGGCAGACAGGATTTATCGCTGAAATCTTTAGTCCAAGTGGGATCAATCAATTCATTAAGAGCCTTGATTATTCAATTGCATTCTCCAGCAGAATCTATCTGAAACACAAGTATGCATCATGATCTGGTGCCACAAGAACTAAACCCCAACCGATCTTCTTTTTGTCTTATTGGTTTCTTTTATCGTTCACTTTGTCCTTTTTTTGGACAAAGAAAATAACTAAAATTATGGCATAAACTGGAATACCTGCCTGCACCAGTTATAACAATATGCTCCCCAATCAATTGCTTTTGCTTCCTTCTCGCACCCGGGGAAGGTCATTGCAAAAGCGATTGCTTATTTTTTTCACTTCATATAACGTTCAGTGGGTTCCTTTACCTATAGTTTATGGTTTGTTGGGCAATTAAATTTGGCGTTGGAATGGTTTAAAGCTATGCTTAGCTGAAAAGACTTTTGGCCCACATCTGTTCATTTGTTTTTCTCAAATAGTTGTTTGGAGTCTTTCTCAAATAGTTGTTTGGCCCACATCTGTTCATTTGTTTTTCTCAAATAGTTGTTTGGAGTCTTTGGATGGTGCTTTTTGTTATATAAAAGTTTTTATTTGTTTGCATTATCAATAAATTTTTAATATTTTTTTATTTTACATATATTATATTAAAAAGTGTTACGGTATCTTTTTCAAAAAAAATTGTCTTAAATAATCTAACACACTCCATCCATCGAGTTGCCTCTTAGAGCAATAGCAGCGCGGGTGAAATGGAGGGCCATTACACCGCTCCATGACACGGCTCCGATGCATGTAATCCATTAAAAGGTGAGACCCATGATTAAATGTAAAATAATTCTAGCCACCAATAGGTACATCCAATTTTTGCTTCAACGGTAAATTTGCCAGCACACAACACATTTTAGCTTTCCAACGGTTAGATTTTAGCCTTCCATATAAACACACAACACTTTTTTTAAAACATATCCCATTAAATTTAATGTAAAAAATTTAATTAAAGTTAGTACTTTATTTTTTAAAAATAACAAAATTATTTTTAAAAATTACTTTATTTATTTATGAGATATGAGTTATGCATTATTAAAATAAATATTTGATTTAATTGTGGATCCATGCTATTACACCTTATGGAGTGTAATCCATTATGAGTGAAAGTGTAATAAAAGAGGAGAAAGTGAAATGCTGACGTGGCATGTGGATTACACTCCACAAGGTGTAATAGCATTGTGGATGCTCTTAGATTAGCTTTGATTTTGAAAATCACATCCTATTCCTAGTATAGGTTCTGTTGAAATTTTGCGCAAAAGTTCGAGAAGGAAAGGAAGACATGCGAGTGCCAATTTTAGTCATGTCATATACTCATATCACACATAAATTCAACATGTAGGATTGGATCATGTCATGCAATAATTTTGTTAGTCACGTAAACCCATATTAGTGATTTATTTTGAGTTTTCTGGACACCCATTAATACGTTTAAATTATATCCAATATATCATACATATATATACATGTACACGTTAATATTTATTATTATATTACATAATTATATACCTGAAGTATATCTTAACGGGTGCCTGTTCATTAAATAAACACATTTATTTTTTTTTTTATCAATATTCTGTCAACCTTTTGTTTCGACCGGAGTATTATTTTCCTTGCTGGCCTAGTAAGGTGAAAACACCACACCTTTGCAGTCACCCTTAAACTTCCATCATCAGATTTCTAGATTTGGACCACCTTGATTTTGGGCATTCTTGACTCTTCGATCCCCGAACCCAATACAGCAATTCAGTTTTACGTGCTTATGCGCTTATCTAACGAAAGGTTCAAGTTTCAACGCGAACTTTTAACTCTTTCCCCCATGTCAAAAATAAGGATAAAAAAATGCCGGCTAAAGCTTTTTATTTAATTTATATTTTCAATAATTAAAGGTCTCGTTGCTTCATTTTATTGACTAAACGAGTCTATGATATTTTTAATTAACAATTTTTTAACAACATGTTGAACTAGGAGTTAGGGTGGTTGATAAGTAGAGTGAATTGTTCTGACCGCCGGTTATGAAATTATTTCTAACTACGTGTGGGTTATGACATATGACAAAATATATGAACACTAATTCAAGCCAAAAGACTTGGAATCCCCAACATGGAAGTTGACTTCCAACGTTCCCTGAGGTTATTCTAAAACTGCAATTTTACAACCCTAAAAAAATGTTGTAGGAAAAATCATATTCTAAAAGTCTTGCTTGATTATATATATACTCCCTCCCTTTTTTTATAACTGACGTTTAAGGTTTTGCACATCAATTAAGAAAAGTTTTTCATTGCTTAAATCTGTATACTACTTTCCTTTTGTACCCTCATTAATTGTCCAATTCACCCATATTTTCTCTCACTAAAGTACTAAATGATGCTGTTTTACTATGCCAAAAGCAATGCAAACTAACTCCCACCAAACTAGAGTAGTAATTAAGAACCCTATATTAGAAAAGAGAGATAAAAGGATAAAATTGTGAAAAAATAATTAATACTGTATGGAGAAAATAAAACGACAGATAAAAGTACCCTAGAGTAGATTTCTTAAACGTCAATTATAAAAAAAGGGAGGAAGTAGTAAAGAAGGAGAGGATCGATTGAATGGATGATAAGATAGGAGGGACGATGAGTAAAAAATTTTACGTTTATGATCTGTCATTTTTTTTTAAAAAAAGAAGAAGAAGAAGAAAAACAGGAACACTAAAAATTCAAGCTAGAGACTTGGAATCAACCCTAACATGGAAGTTGACTTCCAACGTTCCATGTAGTTATTCTAAAGGTGCAAATTTTCAACTCTAAAAAGTGTTGTAGGAAAAATCATATTCCAAAAGTGTTGCTTGACTATAAAAGTATCCGAGAGAGAGGATTTGGTTGGATGGATAGAAAGGTGGAAGGAATAATATATTGAAAATATTGCATCCATGATCTTTTACTTGAAAAAAAAAAAAGAAAAAGAAGACAACGATGATGATGACTATAAAATAAAGAAAGATCGTATTTTACAAGTCGAATAATTTTCAAGCTTCAAGTCTAAGATTGCCGTATGTATGGCGGTGTTTGAGCATATTCGAACCTGTCTATTGGATATTTAGCATGCAAAAATTGACCTGAGGAGAGAGCTCATGGTCCAAAACGAGCCAGCAAAAACCATGATGAATTCCTTATTTTGGCACCCAACAATAAATCAACATTTTTATTCCATTATTAATGCACTTCAGTTTGACCAATAAATAATAAATAATAAATAAATTGCCATAGCAAGTAGTAGTATATTATAACTTATAAGAAGTACTAAAATAAGACAATAATGGGGAGAAATGAATTAATAAATTAACCAAATTATTGGGACAAAGAAAAGAAATGTGACTAGGTACATTTGATGTTTCCTTTGTTTGGAATTGACTTTTTCTCGGTGGGGCAGGGCAGCAGTGGAGAAAATGATAGACGGCGACACATCGGAAACTTCTACGGTGGGTGGCGTGTACGAATTCCAGCCTTGTCAATTTACCACATGGCGTGGAGAAGAGGGAAGATGATAAGCTCTCGCAGTTATTGACTGCATTTTGCTCTTTTACATCATGATCAGTCGTGCAACTGATATTTGAGTTTTGACCAGACTTATCAATTCGAAACACCTTTTTTTTTTTTTTTTTTTTTTTGCATCCCTTCTTGGCACATTTTTTCTCTCCCTTTAAACAAACTCAGTAGTCTATTTTTTTTTCCCCTTCTTAAATTCAAAGTCTTTATAGCTTATTTGACCAAGAGTACTAAACCAGAGTTGAAAGTAATAAACCGTCGTAAAAGAGTGAGAGGAATGTGAGATTGTGTTGCGTGTTGCGTGGAGGGAATCCCATCACTAGCTCTCTCTTTCAAGCTGTCGGCTGAGTGTCTTTGAATTGCTAGCTTTGTGAGACTTTTTTTTGTTTGACTTTTTGAAAATATTTTTCTTATAAATTTTTCAATCTTTTTTTTTTGCGCAAGATAAAAAAAAGAACTTTATATTCATCGCAACTCAAAAAAGTTGCTTTTTAATGCTATTTTCTTGTAAAACCTGCCCACATTTTTCAAAAAAAAAAAAAAAAAAGTCCAGTCCGAACGTGCTCTTATCAAGCTAATGCACATGTTCATATGAAAGCTAGACTGTGCTCTCAATTATGGCATGAACACAAGACGCTTTTTTTTTTTGTGTTTAAATTACACATTATTTTCACCTTATTTACACACACTGACTTGCTTGTATCATCAATATATTTTTCAATCATTTTTTTTTATTTTACATACATCATATCAAAAAAGTGCTATAGTATTTTTTCACCAAATTATCTCAAATAATTTATTATCCAAACACATTTGTTTTTTAACCTCCGGCCAAGACAGTTGATAGGCATGAAACAGATCCTTTGTCTTCTGTTTTTCTGGGCATGGGCAAGTATGAAGCATGAAATTACACACTTTTTTACTCCTTTTTTTTTGGGCCCCTCCGGGGAAGACAGTTGATAGGCATGGTATGAAAGCATGAAAAATACACACTCTTTGATTCTTCTTTCTTTTTTCTTGTGGTGAACAAAACATAGAATTCTTTCCCAAAAAAAAAAAAAAAACATAGAATTGTTTTACCCAATCACAATCTTCCTATGGTCAAAGTTTTCTCTTGATTCAAGGATATTCAGGAGAAATATATAAAACTAGCTAAAGTGTCGGATCCGCGGCAAACTAGGAAACCTGACACGCTTGGGTCGGCCCATGGTTGTCGGCACCAATAAATTACCGATTGTTGCTTTGATGACCCACGATGATACTATCAACTTTCTTTCTTTTTTTCTTTATTTCTTCAAGATGAAGGTTTGTTTGGATATAGTATTATTTGAAATATTATTTGGAATAATTACTGTAGCGCTTTCTATGATGCGATATATGTGAAACAAAAAAGTGATTGTGAATATAAAAAGGTGGACTGAAAAATGTGTTTATAATGCAAGCGAAATATTATTTGAAATAATTTCACTGTCCAAACAAACCTCTTATTGAGGTCTTATTCGTAGTAGCATTGACCTGGATTTCTAAATTTGGAGAAGAAAAACAAGGAAAACAAGCGAGCTGATATCTACCTCAAGTTAAAAAAAAAAAGAAAATATTTTCAGTCAACTCTGAGACAAACAAAATATAAAAAATAGATGGTTTTGTCAGACTGACTTAAAAAATGTGGGATTTCCCTATAATTTGCATCCAATTAGATCCCAGGGAATTGATGCAAAGCGAAAGAAAAACCTAGCTAATGAGTGATTGAAGCATGACAATGGAGATTGTCAAAGTGCAATAAGCTTGAGGGTTAGGTTTTGATTGTATACTAAGTACTAGAAAATTATTACTTGTGCCGTAATGTGATTTCTTAAAGAGACGGAGTCCTCCTTAGCGGGCTGGACTGCCTAGTCCAAATGAGCCCGGTCTAACTAGCCTCTTAATCGACAGACACACAAACATTTTCGTTATTGGGCTTTTGGTACCTTATGTTTGGTCTAATAAGCAATCATCGCATATCATCCAGATTGGCTCTAAGAAGCCTAATTGAAGCAAGCCTAATTGAAGCTGCAAAGGGCAGTACAAAGCCCATTTACTGTCTTCGTAAGACAATTTTGTTGAGCATTTATTGAGCTTATTGGCTTCTTTCTGTGCGGATGGTATTCGGATTGACCAGCAAAAACCTTAAAATTCACGAATTACAAATTCCCGCTTCTCTGGCTCAGCGCTGCAAAGCTTTCCGCCGGTCGCAAAGACCTCTCGAGATTAAGAAGGCAATTTGTTGAGGTAATACAATTGATATATCCTGGTTATTTGTTGTTTTACTTGATTATGTTCTTAAATTGCGCAGATTTATGAGTTTTCAAGAGCTGAATTTGGGATTTTTCTACTGACGTTTGTTTATCGTTTATCTTTAATTCTGGGCCTTTTGCCTTTTCCCCCAGTCCCCAGTCCAACTTGTTTCAGGTTTTTTTTTTTTAAAAAAATTTGTGTTTGGGTTTGATTTTAATTCTAGGTTTTCGTTTATTTATTTGCTAGCTGAAGGAAAAATAAAAAGAAAAAATGGATGAATATCAAGAAATGGAGAAGTTTGGCATGGAGAATGATTTCGAGGATGGGCAATGGATTGGTGGAGAGTTTTATTATAGAAAACGTAGAGAAAAGCACACGCAGACGAAAGATGATGTCTTGTATGGTGTTTTTGCTTCTGGGGATAGTGATTCTGATGATTATGGGGGTTTAGGGTCTTCGAGGAAAAGGAGGAAGGATAAGGGGCTTTCCTCGAAACCTGACTTTAGTAAGCCTGTCAATTTTGTGTCTACTGGTACTGTTATGCCCAATCAGGAAATTGATCGAAATTTAGAGGAGGAGAAGCTAGATGATGAGGGGGAAGCTGATCGAGTCCCAGCTGGGCTTGGTTTTGGTGCGAGTTCTTCTTCATCAAAGGAAACAACTATGTTGATGGAGGATGGTAGTAAAAATGATGATGACGACTTTTTACCAAGTGCTTTTGGGAAAAAGATCAAAGAAGGAGCTCAATTGAGACGCGAGAGGGAAAAGGAGAAATCGATGTTAGCTAAGAAGTCTTCTCGACCGGGGAGGAAGGAACTCGAGCCAGGCGATGTGGGTTCCTTTGAGAAGCACACGAAGGGTATTGGGTTGAGATTGTTGGAGAAGATGGGTTACAAAGGAGGGGGGTTGGGTAAAAATGAGCAAGGTATTGTGTCTCCAATTCAGGCTAAATTGCGACCAAAGAATATGGGGATGGGTTTTAATGACTACAAAGAGACTAATCTGCCAGTGCTGAAGGAACTAGAAGAGAAGGTTGTGACTTCTTCTGTTCAGCCTGGTGTGGTTCAGTTGAAAGAGAAGCTCTGGTCCAAGCAAGCACGGATTAAGAAGAAGGTTTATGTTACAGCTGAGGAGTTGTTGGCGAAGAAGCAAGAGCAGAGCCTTGAAGTTGTGCAGAAAGTTTTCGACATGAGGGGGCCTCAGGTTCGTGTCTTGACCAACTTGGAAAATCTAAATGCTGAAGAGAAAGCAAGAGAGAATGACATACCAATGCCTGAGCTTCAGCACAATATTAAACTGATTGTGGATTTAGCTGAATTAGATATACAGAAGATAGATCGAGACTTAAGAAACGAGCGGGAGACAGTTGTAAGTTTGCAGAAAGAGAGGGAGAAACTCCAAAACCAAGCATCTAAGGAGAAGCAGGAGCTTGATAACATGGGAGATATACTTAACATATTGGAGCAGATAGGGGAGCAGAGCTCTTCGGGAACACTGACCCTAGATTCTTTGGCTAAGTTGTTTGTGGACATGCAGAAACGACACGGAGAAGAATATAAACTTTGCAATTTATCATGCATTGCATGTTCATATGCCCAGCCCTTGTTTATCAGAGTATTTCAGGGTTGGGACCCTCTTCAGAATCCAACACATGGGAGAGAAATGGTATCCCAATGGAAGTCCCTTTTGCAAGAAGACTCTTTAAATTTCGCTAACAGTTCATCTCCTTACACACAACTGATTATGGAAGTTGTGTTTCCTGCTGTTAGAATATCTGGCACCAATACTTGGCAGGCAAGAGATCCCGAGCCAATGCTTCGATTTCTGGATTCTTGGGAAAAATTGCTGCCAACTCTTGTTGTTCAGAAAATTCTGGACGAAATTGTCATGCCAAAATTATCAGCTGCTGTGGACTCTTGGGATCCACGTCGAGAAACCATTCCTATCCATTCTTGGGTTCATCCATGGCTTCCTTTATTGGGACACAGGTTAGAGGCCTGCTACCACACAATTCGTGATAGATTGGAAAGTGTTTTGCATGCTTGGCATCCCAGTGATATGTCAGCATACTACATTCTTTCACCTTGGAAGACAGTGTTTGATTCAGCCAGTTGGGAAAAACTGATGGTTCGCCATATAATTCCCAAATTGTTGACTGTCATGCATGAGTTCCAAATAAACCCTGCAAACCAGAATCTTGATCAGTTCTATTGGGTTCGGACCTGGGCAGCGACTATCCCCATCCATCACATGATTCACATAATGGATATTTTTTTCAACAAGTGGCAAGAAGTTTTGTATCACTGGTTATGTTCCAGTCCAAATTTTGAGGAAGTGACAAACTGGTACTTAGGCTGGAAGGATCTATTCCCACCTGAACTTTTAGCTAATGAGCACGTTCGTCATAGACTGAGTGTTGGCCTTGACATGATGAACAAAGCTGCTGAAGGCATGGAAGTGGTTCAACCTGGTTTGAGAGAGAATATATCCTATCTTAGGGTGCGTGAGCAAAGGCAGTTTGAGAAAGCTGCTGCTCAGGCTCAAGAAAGAGCTTCTCAGCTGCAAGGAAGTATTGGACTTGAGTTGAGTTTGAAAGAAGTTATTGAAGTGCATGCACAGCAGAATGGTTTGCTCTTCAAGCCAAAACCAGGAAGAATGCAAGATGGTCACCAAATATATGGTTTTGGTAACATTAACATTATCATTGACTCCCTCAATCAGAAAGTCTTTGCTCAGATAGATGATGGGTGGTCTTTGGCATCTTTGGAGCAGCTCTTGGAGTTGCACAGCCGTTCTGGTTTAAAGCGGCGCTAAGCAGCAATAGTATTCCTATTGTAGGATAATTTTGTTGTGGTTTAGGCAGGGAACCAGTGGATTTTTGTTTGCTGTTGTGTGAATAGGTTGGTATGACTGTATCACTTTATTAAATTTCTGAACAAAGTTGAATTGGCCAATTGCAAAGTTTCAAGATCATTTTGTAGTTCTTGATTGTCTTATTTAATTTCTTTTGCTGCCATTCTGCCTTTTAGCTTCTAGGATCAGTTGCTGGAATTACCATAACATCTATCTGTATATTTTGTGTTTTCAGCAGGATATTGCTTTAAATAGCTGCTCTTTATAATATACAAATTGTAATCAATTAAATTCTCTGCATCTTTTGATTTCATCTCAGTGAAGGTGTGACTAGACAAGCTAATTATACTGGATGCAGAATATCTCATCGAGTTGTCTAGTCATGATTCTTCTATGATTAGTGCTCTCTCTCTCTCTCTCTCTCTCTCTCTCTCTCTCCATAAATCTGGCTGGAGGTTGCACCCTAGAAAGAGATATTCTACTGGAAATTATGAAATATCATCAGATGAACAGTCAGAGGATGTTGACATGGAAAAGCTTAAAGCATCACCAGCCGAAATTATATTCACCTTTTCAACATGAGATCGCCTTCCATCAGAGAAAAATTTGAGTAAAATGTTGAGGAGGTTTGGGCTGCTGAAAGAATCTGAGACTGAAGTCTGTCCTGATTTTCATTGAGCCAGGGTAATTTTTAAGAGGCAGAAGTTGCTTGTAGTAGATCAGGAAGGATCAATGTTTTTGGGTCAATGGTTGTCACTTACAGCATGGCTACTCTCTATCAATTACTCATGTTGCAAAGATCAGAAGACGCACCCTGATGTCACTGCCTTAGACAAGGGAGTAACAGGTACTTAGATAATTAATCTTCTTTCAGTGTTGACTTTTTTCAAAAATTTTTCTGCTTTATTACGTCCAGTGGATTCTAGGAAGTGCCAAGTTTCAGATACTTTATTTTTTATTGCAATTTGAAGGTGGATTATTGTTTCTCATTGATTATGGATGGGATTCTGGGTTCTTTTAATATTTGAGCTTGAGTGATGGTTAAATTTGGATAAAAAGAAGTAACGTGTGAGTTGGTTATGTCTAGAATCATTAACTTCGGTCTAGAAAGGACTCTACAGGGTCAATCCATTTGTACTCATTGCCTCCCTAAACTATATAAATTTGCTGCAGAAAATAAATGAGTCATAGTTGTCTAATAGAGATATCATAAGTTCATAACACTGAAATTATCAATGAGCTTTGTGTCTTCTCATGCCGCTGATTTGTACTTTGATTGCTAGATGACGAACGTCATTCTATATTGTTACTTGCCTAGAACACGAAGTTTCTCATTTAGGTCTATATCTGTACATTTTTTTTTGTCCCATTTATTTCTTTGCGTATGGTTGAAAGCCCAGACAGAGTGCTGCAGATTCAGTGAAGTTTTTTTCGAAGAGCCAACTGATGGAGGAGGTAACCAGATTAGCTTTTCTGGTTATTTCTTCTAATTGCTTTATATATGTACAATAAATTAAGATGCATGGTCTGGTGCTGCCTTTTGATTCTGAATCCTAGCGCTGTCTTGCTTTGCTTGAAATTGACCTTCGGTGTCGTTTCTTTGTTGCCATGTAAATCATTCATATTGGTCTTTTAAGTTTTCTGTCTTTCATTGTATATGGTAGTTATACATATTGTTGGTGGAATGGGGACCGGGGATGATATTGCATGCTACAGTGGGATTGAAATCTGGTCAAGTTCTGTGTGGGTAAAACTTGCATCGTTGCATTCTAAGAACCTTGTGCCATGCTAGAGCCCTACCTTGTTGAGCAAAATGCAAGCCCGTAATCCTTTTTGCTTGTGCTTTTTCTTAACATTTTCTCTTAATTTCAATGCGGATTAAGTCATTTTTACTTTATTCTTATTTGTTTGTTTGCTCTTTTATTTACTCTTTGAGAAAATAAATGTTTACATGCTACCTGTGAATGGATACCTTGTTAAGTTCTGCTCGTGTCTTGATTATGGAGTACAAAATTATACGTTCAGATGCTATATTATGAGCAACTAGACTTGCGAGAGCCATGATCAGTGTTAATATCTCCTGTCTTCTTCTATGGGAGCCATGTTATGGATGAGAATTTGGAGTCTGAAATGCGTGCCCATATATCCACAACTTGGCGTCTTGAACTCTCTTGGATATTAGTTCATGCATTTGAGCAATCCAGGATGATAGATGTGGGACAACCTACTTATCCACACAAAATATGAGTGGGTTGCTTATTACCGGATGCCCTGAAATTATTTTGGTTCTAACTTCTTAACTCTAGAAATTTAAAGAACTCGCAGATATGTTTGTTGAATAAACTCACGTGGATTACCATTGGTTTTTTTTTTTTTTTTTTTTTATAAATTCAAGAATCACTCAAGGTTTGTAAAATCGGGATTCCACGTAGGATCGATTTTAGTTTCACAAAATCGGATCGTAGGATCGAATCGTATCGTAAGATCCCACCAAAAGCTCCTAAATTTACTAAATTAATGAAATTGAAATTCATATACCATTTTGTACATCCTAAAAGATATCAAATAAATAAGTTACTCATCAATATATAGCATTTTTTACTTACTATCTGACAAGTAATAAAAAGATGAAGAAGTTACAGCCGACAGCATTTCAAGAATGTTTTGATTGCCAATTGCCAATCACAAAAGATCAATAATATGTTTACAATTTCGAATTAATGAAAAATATGTACGTAGTTGAAGAATGAAATTTTTAGAAAAGTAATATTAATCAAAAAAGGTATATATATGAATATAAAAAAAGGTTATGCGTGTTAGAAGTGCATATACATAATAGGTGTGAATTGAATGTGTTAACGATCAAATATTGAACATTCATTACAAAAACTTAATATATATATATATAAAGCTCAAATATTAAATGGGCAGAAAAAGTTCTGGCATTAGATTTCATTTCATCATTTAATTCAAGTATTTAAAACTTCCTGTGGTTTCACTAATTAAAGTTGCCAAATACAAATTTCAATTATTGAGAAAAAAAAAATAGGAGCACCATCCAACAGAATAGAATTCCTGGTATCATATAATTTCCTACAATGTAAACGAAAAAAGCTTGAGAAAAGGTAAAATTTGTACATTTCCATCCTAATTTCACACGCCATTAATTAGTCACTATTGCACTCATGTTTAAACGCTTACAAAGTAGTATGAGTATGAGAGAGGAAGATGATGATTTTGCTGCTCAGCTTTTCACCCAATGCAGAAAATGAACCTTTTCTGCAATAGCTGTCGGCTGTAGCTTGTGGGTTCCTGGTAGAAGCCGCAGCGATTTGTCTTGTGGGTTCTTGGTAAGAGCTGTAGCCGAAGCTTGAGGTGGTTTGATGGTTAAAATTAGGGATTTGATTTGGGCAGCGGAGAGGAGAAGAGAAACGTCAAAGCTCTACTTGAGGAGAAGATGAAGAAGGGCCGAAGCTTTTTGACGGAATCTTTTGACTTTGAGGCAAAATTTGTTAAAACATTGCAACTAAGGCCTGCAATTGAGTGTGAACTTACAAGCCTACCCCAAATGTTCATTTTTACTTGCAAAATGAACCTTGTATTCCACAAATTAGCAAAAATTTGTAGGATCGAAGTAGGATCGTAGGATTCTATGCGATCCTACCTCGATCCTATATAGATTCAAGAAATTTGCGATTCTGAATGCGATCCGGATCAATTTTACCTTTTCGGATCGTAGGATCGATCCTACGATCCGGATCGCGATTTTAACAACCATGGAATCACTTGCAAGGGAACGGGAGGTAGTCAAATCCCAGTCGATTTGTGGACTCTTTGGAATCGAACTCCAAGCCTACTTATAGTGACAGACAGGGAGATCCTCCCTCACCATCTGCATTAAGTGAACTGGTTAGATCCGTGTAACACTTTTATCATAGTAAGATAAAGTATATTCTGTTATGGCGTACTTCATCTATGCTTGATGATGTGGACTGCAGACAATAAATCTTTATCCTTTATCACTTCCAATTTGCCCAAAAATTTAATGCTTAGGCCCTTGATATCATTTCTGACGCAGGGTATATGTCAATTGTCATGAATGGATATGTTATCTTCGTTTTGTACACTACTTTTTGTGCAAGTAAACGAATCTATTCTGGGAGCCCGTCCTAAAGCCATCGGGGCAGTCAATTCAAGCATAGACGACGGTCTTAGGGGGTGGGCTGCTGCATTGCATGTACTGTAAGGCACTTAGGCTGGAGGAGGGGCAAGGATGAGGGGCAGGAGCGATCCATCTGAGTTGTTCACGGTCAAGATTTGGTTCAAAAAAATTATATGGTCCAGATCACTTCTTGTACCTCGTTTTTAACGTCGTGTGTGGAGTTCACAAAAATTTGTTTCAAAGTTATACGTTGTGCAAACAAAGTTACGTCGTGTACAAATAAAGTTATATCGTGTGTAAAATGTACAAAATTGCTAGGTACCTGTGGTCCGAGGGGCAACGACAGTTGCAGGAAAGCAATCATTTCTAAAGATTCATGGTCAAAATTTGGTCAAAAAAAGAGTAAGGTTTAGATTGCATTTTATACATAATTTTTTGCATTATATATGGAGCTTATAAAATTTTGTTTTATAATTACACGTTATTAAAAGTGAATTACACCGTATGCAATGCAAGTTACATATTGTGAAAATATACAAAATCAGATCGAATAATTTTCCTAACAACCGTTCAGCCCGATTCCACTTAGGCCACTAAAGCTACGATTTTTTTTCATTCTGTAAGGAAGATACTCAACTCAAGTGCATTTAAAAATTTTAGAAAGGACATGAAAACCTAATCAATCTGAAGTTTTAATTATTGTGTTGTTAATTGCTTAAATTAGAAGCTGGAGAAATAAGCTTAACAGTCTCTTTACCACGGGGAAGTGGAAGATTTATTGTTGTTGTTGTAAAGAGGGGAAGGGTGTAAACTCTCAACCAAGGAGCCTCCCCGTCATAAGACTCATAACTATCAACCTGCTAGGATAATTGGTCTAAAACCGTGATCTTATCTAGTTGTTAAACTTTATCTACTTCATCACGATTGCTAGAAATGTTCCTAATTATTCTACAGCCCAAAAGTGCAAAGAAAGTAGACGCG